CTCTCTCTCTCTCTCTCTCTCTCTCTCTCTCTCTCTCTCTCTCTCTCTCTCTCTCTCTCTCTCTCTCTCTCTCTCTCTCAAGCGATCGAAACAGCAAATCGAGACATCACCGCGGGAAGCAACACGGGAAACAACACGTATCGTCGAAACAGCAAATCTGGAATGGGAAGCTGCACATAAATGCAAAAAAAAAAGCAGGATCGCCGATCGGGCCCGCGTCGGACGGCCCGATAGAAGTCTCGGGAATGACCTGCCGCGTATCCCGAAAACTCTATCGGGCCGTCCAACGCAGGCCCGCTGGACAATTCCGACGACCCTCACCTGTTCGGCCTGCCCCGAAAGACGTAGGCGGTATCTGTCGGGCCTGCCCGCCGGTCCCACTGTGTTTCCCAACAGTGGATAGCGGCCTCTCGCGGGAGCGTTACGCGAGGACCGCTATTCGCTTAAAGAGTGTTAAGGATAATAGTAACAATGAAAAGAACGAACCAGAACCAATGTTTGAAACCTCTTCTTACTGCCAGCCACTTGAGAGGTCCACCATATCCATCACCTACACCTTCCTCCTCCTTGGTCAAGCTGGTGGCTATGGCGGATTAACGAAACGAAGCTCCGATGTTTAAAGCACAATGCAAAGCTAATGGGTCCCTCCTACTATGGCCGCCGTGCCTCTCACTAACCCAACTGGGGCCTGCCAGATGCCGACCCAACCAAGGAGATGAAGATGCAGTCTGCCACCCCCCATCACTCTCCTCCTTGCTCACCATCTTCCTCCTCCTACCACTTCCCTGGAGTCTCCTCCTTGGTCCCCTCCACCATAGCTAAGGTGGAGGGCCTAGCCCCCATTCTTCCTCCCCAGCACTACCAAACTGAGTGCTCCCTCCTCCAGCATGTCGGCCAACTGCCGTGCTGCCGAAGGAGGAAGAACTCTTCGCTCTCTCCCTACATATACCGGACTACTGCCTCTTCGGGCGGCGACTGTTCAGGAAAAGAAGCCTCCTCAAGCTACCAGTACCTTCCCCTTTTCTGAGGGAAAAATCATTTTAGTCTGATATCCCCTCCTGTGGGCTCTAGACGCAGGACCTCGCCACACCACCCTCGAAATGTGAAAAAGACAAAAATGTGGTGGGTGCATCTGGCCATGTTCTAGCGGGAAGTTCATTCTCATTTTGCACATTTCGAGAGTGGTGTGGCGATGCCATCACACTACTTGGACCGGTACCTTCCCTTCCAAGCCTACCGGACTCTAAATTCACTTCGCCCTCTAGATGTACTAACTTGTCGTCTTCTTCTGCGCCTACCTACCCGCTCGCTACTTGAGTGTTTTCTAACCTACGTGAGCCCTCACAAAAGCACGGCTATAGGTAAGTACCAGGCTCGGGGGCGTTCTTGGCACAAAAGTACCCTGGCGGGTCACACACACACCCATGCAATCATGCAGTCAGGCAAACACGGAAACTCAGCAATCATGCACACACACATACTTTGAAACCTCAGCAGAATACAGGAATCTCAGGAAGTCACTCAGTCCTGTGGCAAAACTCAGAAAACAGCAGAGTTCTGAGTCCGTTAGTTTGCAGGTCATTACACTCTTTTGTTATTATTGTTTTTTCTTCTGTTGTCTGTTCCAGTCACTCTCTCTTCGCGTTCACAAATGCAGTATGAGTAGTATGCTGTTAGTTTGTTGCATTCCCTGTTCACAATGGAACATAACGTGAGACACGATGCAAGTTCAACTCAAGGCGATTGAATGTGCGACCTTCCTAAAGCGAAGGAGGAACTTAGCCAAAACAGTCTACATGGGTTGGGGTGAAATTGAACCCCCTTGCAGGAAACAGCCAATCAAGTTCGAAGTCCAAAATCAGAATTGTGTGAATGCCCCCTGTTGAGTACCAAAAGAGCTGTGCTACCTTCTGCTTCTGCCTTGTGCTGAAAGGTACACAGTACTACACAAATTATAACTGTCGATAAACAGATCATGAGCTCAGATCCTGATGGCAGTAATCTGCTAGGCAGCTAGGGGCTAAATCCCCCCCTCCAAAAGAAAAGGACGAAGGAAAAAAAAAAACGGAAGGGGGGGGGGGGGAAGCAAAAAAGAAAAAAGAAAAAAAAAAGAAAAATAACAACACAGATGTAGATTCACCTGTTCTATGCCTTGTTTTAATGGTTGCAGGAATCGTGCAATAGAGGGAAGGTCAATGGATTCGCGATGTCAGTGAGCTCACTGGGTCGCGCAATGGCACCTGTGGCGGGAGGTTTTCTGTAAGCTCTTTATGTTCTTTTTTCTTTTTTTTGGGGGGGAAGCAAGGTCCTCATCTCTCTGTCTTGGCATCTTGTCCTTTGATCCTTCCTTTTTCTTTTTTCCCTCTTTTTTCCCATTTTTTAATTTTTTTTCCTTTCGTTTTCGTGCAATCAGACTCGACTTCTTCACACTTGTCATGCATGCAAACAGCGAAACAGCAAACTGGCGACATGCGCCCACACAGTACTCAGAGATATCGTAACCAGGTAGGAGTTCCCTTCAAACTGGCTATGGCGACTGAGCGCCCACACAACTCACTGTTCGCACTCTGGATCACCCTGGATGTCCCACACGCAACACTCTACATGCAACACACACACACACACACGCTACTATGGCTATGGCAGCTATGGCTGCCACTATCCTATCGCTACACTACACTTCACTGCCCTCTTCGTCTTCGGGCGCACTGCAGACCTCCTCGCACAAGCTGCTGAGGCATAGCTACGACTTACCTGAAAGGGCAAAGTCGTAGCAGCTACGACCTTGACCCTTCAGACATCCTACAGCTACGACTTCGGAACTGTCTAGACTCCATCTTCGACGCCACACGGGTCCTACCGGACCTGACTTAAGGCTAGAGGGACACATCAGGGCCTAAAGGCCCAACCTTGGGGGTACTACAGGCCATAAAGGCCTCACCTTGGACCAGACCCAACGGGCAGGCCCAAACGACATTACCGTTTGGGCCTGGCGGCGCTCTTGAGGCTGCTGCCCGCCGGTTGGGGCTGAACCGTCCATCTGGACGGTTCAGGGCACGGCCAGGCCTCGCAGCATTGAGGCCGGCCTCTGCCCCACTGGTATATAGAACCGGTCCAGCCTCAGTCCAGCATCGACCTACCGGCATCCTACCGGTACGGTATGGTACAGCGCTAATCAGCGCTGGCGCTATCTTTAGCGCAGGAGCAGCGAGGAGCAGCGCAGCGCAGCATTAGCGCAGCAGTAGCGAGCGAGCAGCAGCAGCGGCGACTGAGCGCACCGGCGGCCATAGCTGCCTGAGGTATCGGGAGTCGGAGGCCTCTCTCCTCCCTCCCCTCGCCAGTCCCCTCTCTCTCTCTCCTCCTCGGCTCCTACTTCTTCTTCTTCTTCTCTTCAGACTTCTTCTTCTTCTTCTTCTTCTTCTTCTTCTTCTTCTTCTTCTTCTTCTTCTTCTTCTTCTTCAGACCAGAGACCTATACTAGTTGGACAGAGATCAGTGTTGGACTTCGGTGGTATGAGACTGTGGTACTCACCGGATTGGAGACATGGAGATCGTTGGGGTTGATACTTGGCGACATCACAGTTCAGACACCGGTTACATTTGGACTCTGTATCCCCGACATTGGTGACCTATGGTCCTCGACATTTTGATCTTGTTGGATGACATTTTGGACTACCATATCGGTGACCTATCAGATTCTATCTCGGTGACTTTCGGTGCTGTCTACCTCCCCCCACCTCTTCGTCTCTCCTCCCCCATTCATCTGTGTATGTGTGTACGGGGCTGAGCATCTTCTATGAATG